AATGCTGAACATGTTATAACAGAAATGGAAGCAAGGAAACAAATTAGGTACTAGTTTGCTTTTAGATTTCATAAGCCATTTCTTTCATTAAACACATTTTCGGGCCTATAAATTTCTGCTTTTCTGAGATCCACTGGCAGATGGGGCTATGTCATTCAATTCATGGTGAGGACTATTAGATGTTCCTGAGGGTTGACTGAATAATTAAAGTGATAAACCAAATATGAGTGTTTTTATTCCATTTGCTCAGCATTAATAAGACCCATCATGAAAAGGGAAAATGGCATCAATTTAAAATAACTCATTTGGTAAGTACCAAAAAGTCCCACATATGGAATGAGCAGTAAAGTACTCTGAGTTTCAAGGCTCTGGGTCCACCATGGAAATGGATTCTCTCTTAGAATCTCATTTCCTTCAAGTCCTTATAATTAGCTGTAATTAGCTAGGTAATACGGAGTTGACCCTTAAACACAAGGACTGGGGTGCTGACCCTCTGCATAACCGAAAATTGAATTAGCTGTTGAAATTCTTTTGCCTTTTCTTATTCCTTGAAGTTTTTCTTCTGTTGGAGACCTTGACACCTGGCAAGGGCCTTTGAAGACAGGAAGGCATTTTGTTTGGATTCTTAAAAGAAGCTCTTTGTTGAATATCCTACTAAAGTCATGAGAAAGAACTATAGGATTACCAAGGGAGAACTTTGGAATCTTCAAGGATCCAAATACCTAAAATAAAAAGGGCAGTCCTGCTTGAAATGTTGGGGAAAGGAAATACCTTATCTATGTTACATCTCATTTATTCCTCACAAAACTGTAACAAGATAGATATTATCTGCATATTACATGTGAGAAAATAGCTCATTTGCCAAAAGGCAATCATGATTTGGACACAGATTTACCTGACTCAAAATTTCCTGCTCCTCTTAGCCTTCTGCTTTGCCTCCAGGGAAAGTTTCAGGCATCTTGACCTGTGCTGAACAAAGTAGCCACTAGTCAAATGGGGCTCATCTGAATTAAGATGTGCCATAAAATACACTAGAAGCAATGACAGGTATTTTCTTGGGCAGAGGATGAGATGATTAGATAGCCTCTGTGACTCAGTAGACACAAATTTAGGCAAACTCTGAGAGATAGTGGAGGACAGAGGAGCCTGGAATGCTGCAGTCCATGGGGTCACAAAAAGTCAGACATGACTTACTGACTGAACAACAACATAAAATACACAATGCATTTTGAAGATGTACTATAAAAAAGTAAAATGTCTCAATAATTTTAAAATATTTGTATCATACTTGAATGAATGCTTTGGATGTATCAGGTTAGATGATGTGGGTTATTAAAATTAATTACACCCATTTGTGTTTTAATGCAGCCACTAGAAAAAAAAACTTAAAATCACCTATGTGGCTCACATTATGTTCCTATACAGTAGCACTGATTTTGATCATTTCTACTTAGGTTCCCAGAAGTGAAATTGTAGGATTCCAAAGGGAAATTTTTAGGAATTTAAAACATCAAAATGCTACACTCAATCCTTCTGTTTACTGTCTTCTGAACTTAATAAACATGGATCTTTAATTCCCTCTAGAGAAAGCACTCTGTCTTACACAAGTTGAATGGTCATCCTATGAACTTACAGAGGGACTAGAGCATCCCACGGTAACTAATGAAGTAAACAATTATCAATGATTTTGTGATCATGTTTGGTACCTCCCTTAGTCAAAGCAGTGCTGTAAATTCCTTGAGTCATTTCGGGTAGGGTGAAGATGGCACATGTTTTCATCAGGAATGGAGAACTGATGCAATTTCATTTTGGTATGGGACCTAAGTATTACACCAAGTTTTACTTCTCTGAGCCTCTTTTTTTTTTTTTTTTCCCCTCCTCTGGGCCTCTTTTGATCATGATCTTCTAGCATAGTGGTAAATGCAATAATAGATGCCAATGAATAGAAACAAATGGATGCTTTCACGTCCATAGTATAAAAATGCTAAATCCTTTCACTGTTTTAAGTTGTGAGCCAGAACAAATGTTTGGGCCCTGGAGAAGCACATTTAAGATTTATAAAAGCAAAATTAACTAATTTCATTGTGGGTCACTGTCCCTTGAACAATGACAAAGTCACCTCTTCCTTAAGCACATAGTTACAGTTAAGCCTTGTTATATGCAAAACAGATTTTATTTTTTAAAAAGTTCTTGAGATAAATTCTGTAAGACTAACAAAAATTTTGTTTGCAAATGGATTTATTTAGTCTTCTTAAAGGCAACTGGTAAACACAGGTAATAAGGAGTTGACCCTTAAACACAAGGACTGGGGTGCTGACCCTCTGCATAACTGAAAATTGAACTTTCTCACTGTAACTGTATCTGTGGTTCTGCACCCACAGATTTAACCACTGCACAGGTTGTGTGCATGTAGGCATGCGTGCTCAATTGTGCCCAACTCTTTGCCAACCCATGCACTGTAGTCCACCAGGCTCCTCTTTCCATGGAATTTTCCAGGTAAGAATACTGGAGTGGGTTGCCATTTCCTTCTCCAGCACGGGTTGTGTAGTACTGCTTATAAGTGGACCTGCACGATACAAATGTGTGTTCAAGGGTCCACTGAGTAGTGAAAAGCATGATTAGCACACATCATCTGTGGACTGAGGAGTCAGAAAATACTAAGGAGAGTATCAAATCACTTTGTTGGGACTTCCTGGCGGTCCACTGGTTAGTAAGACCGTGCACTTCCAATGTGAGCAGTGTGGGCTGGATTCCTGACTGGGGAACCAAGGCCCGCAGGCCATGAAGCACTGCCAAAAAGAAAAAAAAAAAAAAATCACTTTGTTATATACCTGAAATAAATAATATTTTATGTCAAGTATACTTAAAAAAGAAAAAATAATAAAAATAAAATTAAAAAACCACCAAGGAAGGTATAAAGGAAGCAAATAATACAAGTTCCATCCTCAGGGTTAGAAGGGATTTCTCTAATATGTAGAAATTTTCTCCTTAGGACTGGTTGAGTGATTGAAGACTGAAAAAAAGGGAGAAGTCGCATCTCATTTTCTTAGAAATAAAGCAACTCCTTTGGAGTCATACTCATAGGGAAAGCTTATATATATAAAACACAAATGCAACTCATTCCCAAGAAAGAAAGGAGCCATAGGCTCTGTGACTCAGGTAGCCTTGTTTAGCAGTCTAATGGGGTAGTTGGCACTGTCATTTCTATCAGCTATACCTTGTCATTTGGTATCACTACATTAGGTCAGATTAAACAGAAATCAACCTTTCACTTTCTGCCAAAACCGTTATATCAAAGGTATTGATACTCTGAAATAGAGTTATCTTCCAGCCAGAGATCACAAAATAACCAAAGCTCTCCTAAGTCTTAAAAACACTGTCACAATGATTCAGTTTATATGTCATCTTTAACTTCTCTGAGATGATCCAATCTTGTTTTAACCTAAAAACTACCACATATATTTGATTAAACAACGTTGTTATTTAGCTTAAGGTAATTGGGTCACATGGGCTGGGTCAAAAGAGTCAAATACTTTGGTGGTCATTTATAAAGTATAACCATAGAGGGAATTCTCTGGTGGTCTAAGTGGTTAGGACTCTGAGCTTTCACTGCCAAGGATGCAGGATCAATCCCTGGTTGGGGAACTAAGATCCTGCAAGCCTCGCAGCACAGCCAAAGAGAAAAAAATAAAATAAAAACTCTCTCTATATATATGTGTATATATACACATACACACACATATACATACACATAACCAAAGCAAAGGCCCATTAGTTCAGCTCCCTTTCCCCAGTGTGTTAGTTCTGGTGCTGAGAAGTTGAGAGAGAACTCTTCTGTTTTAGTCACAGCAGGGCACAGGAACACGAAGCTGCTGCTGGAGAGACACAAAGCTAAACAAATGTATGCTGGATAGACAAACACATCATGAATCTAAGGAAGACACACACAGGTACAAGAATTATTCATGCTCTTTCTTGGCTGTTTAAAACCTTTATTTTTTTTTTTTTTTAGAATATTTATACTTATGCTCTTGTTGTTATCTACAACGTGGCTTTTAAAAAAAACGCCTGAGCCACTTTGTGGTTCTTGCCCCAGTAAAATCATCTTAGAATTTCTTTTCCCTTGTCAGTTTGACTTTGTGTGGCTTCTATAAAATGAGGATCCTGGAAAAGAACCCTTCCTGTGACCCTGGGAGATGAGGTGAGCAGGGCCCGGCTCAGCAGGACCGGACAGGTAAAACTAGCTGGATGGCAAATAGGCTATGACTACCTGGACCAAGGTATAGTTGTGCATATGTCTTAAGCGTCATGCTGACTCACCAGGAGAATGAGGATTATGTAGGCTGACCAGGGTGAGGTAGGAGGGTCCACAGGATTGTGTGGATTGTGGAAGGAGAGGCAGTATATAACATTCGTAGATTAAACGTTCTATTAATAAAAAACGAAGATCTAGGTTTCTCAATTTTTTTTTTAAACTCATGAAGATTCAAGTCACTAATAGGTTCATTCTTACAGTTTATAGTGAAAGCAAATGGCTATGGTGATGCAGAGAAGACAGCTGAACTGCATCAGTATATTTAAAATTTTTAAATGAAATTCTGAGTTACCTGACCTTATAAAAATATATGTTGATATACTAAATACTTCACAAAGCTCTAGGATGGGGGATATTGTAAATGTAAAAATACATTTCTCTTGTATCAGCACCAAAAATATTAGTTTTCTGTACAACCTCTGACAAGTTTTTCAATATAGGCAAGTTAAAATGATTTGGTAAAAATCACAAATGCCATGGAAATCATTAAAGATAAATCCAAACAACTTTCAAATACATTTTGACATCAAGGTCAGGCAATTCACTTGGAGGGATAGTATTCTGAGTACCACTGAAATACTCTCTTAAGATTTCTGATGTCAACTTTGTACAACGGGGATATTTCATATCTCACACAAAGCAGGCACTCGGACTTAGAAACTTAAGAAAATTATTAGAACTGTTATTAAGACTGAGGTGAACAATTTGTGCAGCCTTCCACAATTTCAAAGAGGTAGTGATAGATACCGGTCCTCCTGGCGATGTCAAGTGCCGTTTCCTCCAGGCTGTTCTTCAGACCTGGCTTGATGTAGCGGTTCATCAGGAGGAGCTCCAGGGTGTCTTTGCTGTCTCCGTTTCCAGCGGCAAGGTGTAGGGGGGTCAGGAGGCCTTTTGTTTGGGCATTGATATCTGCATCATGCTGCAGTAAGAAAGAAGCCACTCTGGCATTATTCCACTTACAGGCACTGTGCAGGGGTGTCCAGCCATCCACGGTCACCGCGTGGACATCTGCCCCGTGTGCAATCAGCTCTCGGACCACATCCAAGTGCCCACTGTAGGCTGCTCGGTGGAGTGGTGTGTACTTGTCTTCATCTTGAGTGTTCACGTGGGAAGCCCTTTCTGAAAGCAGTCTCCGCACTGTGGTCAGCTGAGAAGAAAACAGGAGATCTTTCACAAACCCAACATGAAACAAAATAGTAAACAAGGAACACGAAATGGTCTAGTGGTGTTAGACTTAACTAAGTTAAATGAAAACTTCCTTGTTAGTAGATGACTGTAAAATAAACATAAGATTTCTTTTGGGGAGGAGGACAACTGATTTAACAATGAACAAGTCAGCGTTAATTATAAATTCTTTTGGGTTTTTTCCCCCTCATAAACTTGATTTTATGAAGGTGAGTCTCTAAAAACCAATCCATATGTTTACTCCTGGTCCAATTAAGGCTTACTGCACTAAAGCTACAGTTAGGTGAACAATACAGGCTAGAATCATGTTTGATATGTTTCATCTGTGAAGAAAACATAATAATGGAACATTATGTTCTGATCTTTTGGTAGTAGGATTATCACACCAATGTGCACGGTGTATAAAACTTTAAAACATACACTTTTATTAGTAGAATACAATGCTAACAAGGAAACCTAGAGATTAAGAAGCTCAATTCCTTCTAACTAAATAAGCTCAGACACCTGTTTTCATGAAGTGATTTTTTTTTTTTTTTCAGTTTGGTCTGAGGACAAAGCGAGCTTCAGGGACAGGTCTTCTGGCTTCCAATCTAGTAGTTTTTCTACTAAATTAAGGTTTCTTTTTTAACTGTTCTTTTCTCTTTTTTACCCGATTTTTTTCAGCAGCCCAAAGAAGCAATTTGCTTGGATCTTTTTCCATTTTTTTTTCTTGCAGTTGATACCACTCTTCAGTTTCTTCATCTTGCTCCTCATCTTCATCAGAATTCCCTACCCAGAGACTTTGGGTACCAGTGGGAATAAGGTGTCCATGTGTTTCCAACAGTTCAAGTTGGTTGAAGTGTTCAGAAAAGTCCAAGGAGTTCTCTGGGTCTGGTTTTTCATGATTTACTTTCTCTTTTTCCATTTTTACTACTATTTTAAATATAAATCATTTCAAACACCAGGATATAAATAATCTCTCCAGAGATGATTATGTCTGCTTTATTTTATTCATCAAGATCTGAAAACACAAACACAAAAATTAGGAGCAAACCAGTAATTGAAGATTTATTAATAGCATAAATAAGTCTTGCAAACATACACAAATATACTCTGTCTAAATTTTTTGGTGTTTATTAATACTCTTTACATTCGTCAAATATTGGAGCTGACAGATTTCAGTTATCTTTATTTTTAATGGCCTAATACTCATTTTTATTGTTTTCTTCTACTAAGTCAGTAGTTATGACTCTTATTTTGAATCTATTGGTGTAGATACTATGTGTATTATACTAACAGTTGATTAATGCTTGAAGTTTTAAAATTATAACTAATACAATAAAAATGAGAACATACACCATTTTTATAAACGAGACACATAGATGCTATAGAAGAGAAGCAAAAATTTGTAGTTCCTAAAAACTACTTCCAAGAATCAGAGATTCTTAGAGATGGAATATCCCCCAGAGGACACATGTCCCAATCTCTCATCAATGCAGATATCTTTACCATGACATCTATAATAATCATCCTCTTTCTACTTGAACAATTCTGGCTTAGGAAAATTCATGGCTTTAAAAAGTAGTCCTATTTACTGACAGACAACAATTGTTCTTAGTTGGGTTCTTGTTGTGAAACATGATTCTGGCTGTCATGCACTCCTTCACTCAACAAAGATGAAAAAAACACCTGGCATGTGCTAGTCTCTCAGTGTTATGTGCTTGGGCTTGGTGGCTCAATCATGTCCAACTCTCTGCGACCCCCTGAACTGTAGCTGGCCAGGCTCCTCTGTTTAAGGGATTTCCCAGGCTAGAAATCCCTGGAGTGGGTTGCCACTTTCTTCTCCAGGGGATCTTCCCAGTGCAGTGATCAAACCTGCTTCTCTTTTGTCTCCTACATTGGCAGGCAGGTTCTTTACCACTGCACCACTTGGGAAGCCCACCAGGCTCTAGGTACTGGGATTCAATAATGAACAAGATCCATGTCTTAACCTCATGAAGTTTACCATCTGGTTAGGAAGGCTGGCAAAGACAGCATTAAGTACTATGATAAGACTGTAACCAGATACAATGAATATACAGGAGAACCATCATTAACCCAGAATTATGGGATTACTGAGGGCCTCCCTAGTGGCTCAGTGGTAAAGAATTTGTCTGCCAATGCAGGAGACATGGGTTCAATCCCTGGGTTGGGAAGATGCCCTAGAGAAGGAAATGGCAACACACTCCAGTATTCTTGCCTGGAGAATCCCATGGACAGAAAAGCCTGGTGGGCTACAGTCCATGGCTTTGCAGTTGGACATGACTTAGGGACTAAAATAACACCACAAGGGATTACAGAAGGCTTCCTGAAAGAAATGATATTTATTCTGCTAGGTTGCCATAAAAATTTATAAACAACATCAGTTGAAAGAGTTATGCAGGGGGGCAGTCCCAAGATGGAGGAATAGGATAGGAAGACCACCTTCTCCCCCACAAATTCATCAAAAGATCGTTTGAATGCTGAACAACTTCCACAAAACAACTTCTGGACGCTGGCGGAGGACACCAGGCACCCAGAAAGGCAGCACATTCTCTTCAAAAGGAGGTAGGAAAAAATATAAAAGAAGAGAGACAAAAGAGTTAGGGACGCAGACCCATTCTGGGGAGGGAGTCATGAAGGAGAAGTTTCCAAACACCAGGAAACCCTCTCACCGGCAGGTCTGTGGGGAGTTTTAGAATCTCAGAGGGCAAGATAACCAGGAGGAAAAAAAAAAAAACCCAAAACCCACAGAATAGGTGCCTAACCACAACTCCCAGCAGAGAAGTACCCAGATGCTCGAATCAGCCACTGGGGGCTGGACAGGGAGGCGCGGGCTGCATGCTTAGAGTAAGGACCAGGCCTGAATACCCTGAGGACAACCTGAGGGAGTTAATGTGAGACAGCAGCCCAAACTGTGGGATAGCCAGAGAGAGAGAGAGAGAGAGAGAGAAAAAACAAGAACTTTCCTGTGAAAGGCTTAATTCAATGTGCAGCCTGGCCCGCTCACAGAGCAAAGGATTGAGTGATCACCAAAGGAGAGCTAGCCAGCTGCATACAGTCCCCTCCCTGCCAGAGGCAGAGAGGCAGGTGGGTGACAGCCAGAGCCAGAAGTCAAGGGGCTGCTCCAATCTCGGCCTCAGAGACCGGCATCCTCCACCAAACTGTGAGCAGGCCCCCAGTGGTTAACCACATCTTCCTGGGATCCTGGATGGTTGACATCTGCCAGGAGAGTCGCAGCCTGAGATCAGCTCCCCAGAGGAGACACATGGCACACCTGAGACCAGAGAGGTGATTAAGACGCAAGGCCCACCTGGGAGAGTGCGCTGGCCAAGGACCTGGTCGCCTGAGCTGCTCAGACCTGGAAAGGGCACAAAACACACGCCCAACAGTCTGTGCCCTTGCAGAGTACCTGGAGTACCCAAGAACCTGAATCAGAGCGGCTTAGACCTGGGAAGTGCATGAAACCAGGGCCTGCTTTGGACAGTGCCCTGCAGAGCACCCTGTATCCTGAACAGTGTAGAACCAGAAAGCACCCACCGTGAGCTTGGGCAAACCCAGTGTGGTCCATTCACTGCGAGCACCCCCCCACACCCACCAGTGATATTTGCAGGGTTCCTCCCTCCCCAAAACACAACTGAACAAGTGAGCGTAAATAAGTGACCACCTTCACCCATCTTAGTGTCAGGATGGAAATTAGACATGGAAGAGACTTTCAAACAGGGGAAGCCAAAATAAACAAAGAAGAGGGACCTGCTCTGCAAGTGACAGGTGCAACAGATTAAAACCTTGCAGTTAATATTGACTAAGCATTAGAGGGGGCTTATAGACTTTGAGAAGTGCAAGCTGGAACAAGGAACTATCTGAAACTGAACTGACCCCACACTGCCCATAACAACTCCAGAGAAATTCCTAAATATATTTTATATTATCACTTTTTAATTTTTTAAAACATTTAAGTTCTTTACTACTTTAATTTTCACTTTTATAACCTACTGCTGCTGCTAAGTCACTTCAGTCGTGTCCGACTCTGTGCAACCCAATCCCTGGGATTCTCCAGGCAAGAACACTGGAGTGGGTTGCCATTTCCTTCTCCAGTACATAAAAGTGAAAAGTGAAAGTGAAGTTGCTCAGCCATGTTCGACTCTTCGCGACCCCATGGACTGCAGCCTACCAGGCTCCTCCGTCCATGGGATTTTCCAGGCAAGAGTACCTACTATTACCTTGCAAAAAAAGACCCTGTTTTAAAAGCAAATTTCATATATATATATATTTTATAATTTTTGTGATTCATTTTATTTTGTATTTTTAATATTGTATTTTTGAGAGTCTAACCTCTACTCTATGTTTAATCTTTGCTTCTTGGTATTTTTTTTTAAATCAATTTTGTACCTTTAAGAATCTAATCTTCAGTATCCATGTTCACTTAGGGTTGTGATTACTGGCTTGATTGCTCTCTCCCATTTTGACTCCCCATTTTCTCATCTTGGTCACCTCTATCTCCTTCCTCCCTCTTCTCTTCTCTATGTAACTCTGTGAACCTCTCTGAGGGTTCCAGACTGTGGAGAGCACATAGGGATTTGATTACTGGCTAGACTGCTCTATCCCCTTTTGACTCCCCGTCTTCTTGTCCTGGTCACGTCTATCTCCCTCCTGCTTCTTCTCTTCTCCATGTAACTCTGTGAACCTCTCTGGGTGTCCCTCATTGTGGAGAATCTTTTTCACCATTAACCAAGATGTTTTATCATCAGTGCTGTATGGATGGAGAAGTCTTGAGGCTACTGTAAGAATAAGACTGAAAGCCAGAGGCAGGAGGCTTAATTTCAAAACCTGAGAACATCAGAAAACTCCTGATTCCAGGGAACATTAATAGACAAAAGCTCATTAAAAGCCTCCATACCTACACTGAAACCAAGCTCCACCCAAGAGCCAACAAATTCCAGAGCAAGACATATCATGCTAATTCTCCAGCAACACAGGAACACAGCCCAGAGAATTAAAAGACAGACTGCCCAAAGTCACACCAAACCCACAGACACCCCAAAACTCACTACTGGACACTTCATTGCACTCCAGACAGAAGACATCCAGCTTCACCCACTAGAATACAGACACAAGCTCCCCTAGCCAGAAAACCTTGACAAGCCACTAGTACAACCCCACCCACAGGGAGCAGGGTCCACAATAAAGAGGAATCACAAACTTCCAGCCTACAGAAAGGGCACCCCAAACACAGCAATCTAAACAAAATGCAAAGGCAGATAAATATTTAGCACGTAAAGGAACATGATAAATGTCCACCAAACCAAATAAAGAAGGAGGTAATAGGGAGTCTACCTGAAAAACAATTCATAATAATCTTAGTAAAGATGCTTCAAAATCTTGAAAACAAAATTTTGAAAACAAACTAAATAGACTAGAGACAAGGATTGAGAAGATGCAAGAAATGTTTAACAAGGACCCAGAAGAAATAAAGAAGAGTCAATTAATAATGAATAATGCAATAACTGAAACCAAAAGCACTCTGGAGGTAACCAACAGTAGAATAATTGAGGCAGAAGATAGGATAAGTGAGGTGGAAGATAGAATGGTGGAAATAAATGAAGCAGAGAGGAAAAAAGAAAAAAGAATTTAAAGAAATGAGGACAACCTCAGAGACCTCTTGGACAATGTTAAACCCCCCAACATTTGAATCATAGGAGTCCCAGAAGAAGACAAAAAGAAAGGCCATGAGAAAATACTTGAGGAGATACCAGTTGAAAACATCCCTAAAATAGGGAAGGAAATATTCACTCAAGTCCAAGAAACCCAGAGTCCAAAACAGGATAAACCCAAGGTGAAACACCCCAAGACACATATTAATCAAACTAACGAAGATCAAACACAAAGAACAAATATTAAAAGCAG